TCATGCTTAATATCTAAACTCTAGTTATCTGGGTTTTTTCAAAGTTTTGCTATACACTGTCATATAAGGAAAATCAATGACCCCCGGGCGGGGCCAGTTTTGACCTCAGGGCTTTTATTTGAAGACACTTTGTAGACACTCACTAGAAGATGTTTCATGCTTAATATCTAAACTCCAGCTATTTGGGTTTTTTCAAAGAAGATTTTTTAAGTTTTTACTATATGCATATAGGGAAAATCAATGACCCCCGGGGCGGGGCCAATTTTGACACCAGGGCTTTTATTTGAACAAACTTGGTAGACACCAATTAGAACATGTTTTATGCTAAATGTCTTAGCTTTAGCCATTTGAGTTCTTTAAAAGAAGATTTTTTAAGTTTTTACTGTATGCATATAAGGAAAATCAAAGACCCCCTGGGGCAGGGCCAATTTTGACCCCAGGGCTTTTATTTGAACAAACTTTGTAGACACTACTAGAAAATGTTTCATGCTTAATATCTAAACTCCAGCTATATGGGTTTTTTCAAAAAAGATTTTTTAAGTTTTTGCTAAACACATATAAGAAAAATCAATGACCCCCGGGGCGGGGCCAATTTTGACCCCAGGGCTTTTATTTGTGCAAACTTGGTAGACACCCATTAGAACATGTTTCATGCTAAATATCTTAGCTCTAGTTCTTTGAGTTCTTTAAAAGAAGATTTTTTAAGTTTTTACTATATGCATATACGGAATATCAATGACCCCCTGGGGCGGGGCCAATTTTGACCCCAGGGCTTTTATTTGAACAAACTTGGTAGACACCCATTAGAACATGTTTCATGCTAAATATCTTAGCTCTAGCTCTTTGAGTTCTTTAAAAGAAGATTTTTTAAGTTTTTACTATATGCATATAGGGAATATCAAAGACCCCCTGGGGCGGGGCCAATTTTGACCCCAGGGCTTTTATTTGAACAAACTTGGTAGACACCCATTAGAACATGTTTCGTGCTAAATATCTTAGCTCTAGCTCTGAGTTCTTTAAAAGAAGATTTTTTAAGTTTTTACTATATGCATATAGGGAAAATCAATGACCCCCTGGGGCGGGGCCAATTTTGACCCCAGGGCTTTGATTTGAACAAACTTGGTATACACTCATTAGAAGATGTTTCATGCCAAATATCTAAGCTGTAGCTTTTAGGGTTTTTTAAAAGAAGATTTTTTAAGTTTTTCATATTGGTTGCCATGGCAACCAGATTTTAATGGAATTTAAATTTTTGAACAACTTTGAAAGGGGTCCACCTAAGGATCATTTCTGTTAAGTTTGGTTGCAATTGGCCATGTGGTTTAGGAGGAGATGTTGTTTGAAAAGTTTGACGCCATTTTTTGAAGGACGCACGACGGACGCAGAGTGATGACAAAAGCTCACCCTTGAGCACTTTGTGCTCAGGTGAGCTAAAAATGGGTCAAAGACAGAAAAGGACGGGTTGCATTTGTATACCAAATATCATGATGCTGTGATGTAACAAAAAAAATTTGCCACTGATCATTAATGTTGAAAATTTAACTATTTCGGTAAAAAGGATGTGGATAAGCAATAGACCTGAAATCGAATCCCACGGTATGGAACCATGTGTCAATGCTGTATGCCAAATATCAAGAGGCTGTGATAAGTAGTTGCTGAGAAAACTGTTACGAAAATTTCCTACCATTGACCATTCATGTGAAAATTTAACTAAGTCGGTAAACAGGAAGTGGATAAGCAACAGACCTGAAATCGAATCCCACAGTATGGGACACCGATTAATGCTGTATGCCAAATATCAAGAGGCTGTGATAAGTAGTTGCTGAGAAAACTGTTACGAAAATTTCCTACCATTGACCATTAATGTCGAAAATTTAACTAAGTCAGTAAACAGGAAGTGGATGAGCGACAGACCTAATATCAAATCCCACGGTGTTGATGCTGTATACTCAAAATCAAGAAGCTGTGATAAGTAGTTGCTGAGAAAACTGTTGCGAAAATTTCCTACCATTGACAATTAATGTTGAAAATTTAACTAAGTCCATAAACAGAAAGTGGATGAGCGACAGACCTGAAATCAAATCCCACGGTATAGGACCATGTGTTGATGCTGTATACCAAATATCAAAAGGATGTGCTAAGTAGTTGCTGAGAAAACTGTTATGTAAGTTTCCTACCATTGACAATTAATGTTGAAAATTTAACTAAGTCCATAAACAGAAAGTGGATGAGCGACAGACCTGAAATCAAATCCCACGGTATAGGACCATGTGTTGATGCTGTATACCAAATATCAAAAGGATGTGCTAAGTAGTTGCTGAGAAAACTGTTATGTAAGTTTCCTACCATTGACCATTAATGTTGAAAATTTAACTAAGTCGATAAACAGGAAGTGGATGAGCGACAGACCTGAAATCGAATCCCACGGTATGGGACCACGTATCAATGCTGTATGCCAAATATCAAGGGGCTGTAATAAGTAGTTGCTGAGAAAACTGTTACGAAAGTTTTTCATCACCCGCCCACCGCCAGCCGCCCACCGCCCGACATTCACCATACTATAACCCGGGTTTGCACCAGTGCAACCCGGCCAACAAAGGGGAATAATTAAAAAATTTGGCAAGGCATTTACGGTTCTTGTGCACTGCACACCTACTTAAAGAGATCTTTCTACCTACAAAGTTTCATGTTGATACGTCCGATAGTTTTAGAGTTATGTCCCAGACAAAGTTCAAAGTGTAAAAATAAACAAAGGGGAATAATTCAAAAATAAGGCAAGGCAGAGTTACAGTTCTTGTGCACTGCACACCTACTCAATGAGATCTATCTACCTACAAAGTTTCATGTTGATACCTCTTATACTTTTAGAGTTATATCCCGTACTAGTTTCAAAGTTTAAAAATAATCTAAGGGAAATAATTCAAAAATAAGGCAAAGAAGAGTTACGGTTCTTGGGCACTGCACACCTACTCAATGAGATCAATCTACCTACAAAGTTTCATGTTGATACCTCTTATACTTTTAGAGTTATGTCCCGGACAAAGTATAAAATGTAAAAATAATCTAAGGAAAATAATTCAAAAATAAGGCAAAGCAGAGTTACGGTTCTTGGGCACTGCACACCTTCTCAATGAGATCTATCTACCTACAAAGTTTCATGTTGATACCTTTTGTTGTTTCAAAGTTATGTGCCAGACAAGAAAAGCGGACGGATGGGACGACTATATGCTCCATTAAAAATTATTCCATCTTCAGATTGATCTAAGGATGACTACATGCACATTGATCTGTAGTATAAATCGCGATGAATTTTTGATAATCGCTGTGACTGACTGCTTTATGCCCCCCCCCCCCCCCATCCTTGAAAGTTCTGGCTTAGTGGCTTTTTTTAACATTTAAACCTCACATAACCACAATATCATTATATTTGCAAGTTGTAAATATCGATATACAAGGATACATACTGCTATGTTTATTTAAGAAACATTTTTTTTAAATTGTCCCAGAAAACAGTCTAGAAAACATGGCATGTATGTTTTAGACCTGTTTTGTGTGGGAGAGTAGCTTTAATGGAATTCAATATGACCAAGGTTTGCAAATTGTCTACATGGAAAATGTTTTAAATGTTTTGCTTAATTTAATCCCAATTAATATGAATATCATTAATGAATATCAATTTTCAAAACACAAATGGACATTAATATTAAGTATAGATCTAACAAAACAAGCAATTATCATAGTATTGCAAGCAATCCATAAGTCCCCTACTGGTTAGAACCTCATCAACATTCTGAAGGGCCATTCATGGCCATTCACTAATGTTTCAATTTTTCTCCATTTTAAGTAAACTTGTTGGAAAAGTTCTTTAAAAGTGATCACAGGAAACAGTTTTTATGAACAGAAAGACAGACGGACTGAAGGACACTCTAAAGTTAATATTTAAAACATCCCTGTTACCAAAATATAACATTTTAAAAGCAAAATTCTTAAAGCGGAGATAACTCTTGAATTAAAGATGCAATTTCATAAAAAATTTCAGCTCTTTTTGACTAATCACAAATATTGTTATATTTGCCATGTTTTAAGCCTATTTGTTGCCAAGGCAACTGATATTTTTTCAAAATAGGAAGAACAGATAAGACATGCATAATCTCAAGATTGCTATCTACCCAGATGTCAAGTTTCATTAAAATATTTCCAGTATTTTTTGAGTTATCACTGGATTCAGTTTATGTGTAAAATTTGCCATATTTTCAGTCTATGTGTTGCCATAGCAACCAGAATTCTCAACATAGGAAGACAAGAAAAAGACTTGCATAATCTCAAGACTGCCATCTACCCATAATTATGTCAAGTTTCATAAAAATATTTCCAGTACTTTTTGCTTTATCACTGGATCCAGTTTATGTGTAAAATTTGTCATAATTTCAGCCTATTTGTTGCCATAGCGACCAGAATTCTCAACATAGGAAGAAAAGAAAAAGACGTGCATAATCTCAAGACTGCCATCTACCCATATGTCAAGTTTCATAAAAATATTTCCAGTACTTTTTGCTTTATCACTGGATCAAGTTTATGTGTAAAATTTGCAATATTTTCAGCCTATTTGTTGCCATAGCAACCAGAATTTTCAACATAGGAAGAAAATAAAAAGACGTGCACAATCCCAAGACTGCCATCTACCCATATGTCAAGTTCCATAAATATATTTTAAGTACTTTTTGCGTTATCACTGGATCCAGTTTATGTGTGAAATTTGCCATATTTTCAGCCTATTTGTTGCCATAGCAACCAGAATTTTCAACATAGGAAGAAAAGAAATAGACGTGCATAATCTCCATCCTGCCATCTATCCATATACCAAGTTTCATAAAAATATTTTCAGTATTTTTCAAGTTATCGCGGGATCCAGTTTTGCGGACGGACGGACTGACGGACAGACAGACAGACTGACAGACAGAAAAACAAAGAAATTTCTGCATTAGACATGTAATACTCACCATTTGATGAAATGCAAACAACTCCAAAATTACAAACAGCTGCAATTGATCTCTAGTTTTCTTCTTTGTGCACTCCATCAGTCCCGGAAAATATAAATTACATTATTCTTTAAATCAAGTCGATGAATAAGTTAACTAAATAAAGAACTTGAATTTCTCATCCTACAAATTTGCTAAAGGAAAGTCAGTTGTTCCAGTCAGGTACCCCCTTGTGCTTGAAATAATGCTTGAAAGGGCACATGGTGTCTTCCTGTGCAGGAAAAACTTGAAAATCTCTCTAATTATAATCTTAATAGTATTGGTATGACTGGCAACATAGCAAACAAAACCAAAAAAATGTGTCCATAAGACAATGATGCCACAGAAACTGTATAAGAAAAAGTGTAAAAAATGTGTCCATAAGACAATGATGAAAAAGTGTAAAAATGTGTCCATAAGAAAATGATGCCACAGAAACTGTATAAGAAAAAGTGTAAAAAATGTGTCCATAAGACAATGATGCCACAGAGACTGTATAAGAAAAAGTGTAAAAAATGTGTCCATAAGACAATTATGCCACAGATACTGTATAAGAAAAAGTGCAAAAAAATGACTTTAACACATGTAATCTTGCATTTCATACCATATTTTTAATGTTTTTCTCATTTCAATTATCTTTAATTTATTATAGCAGTGTATATGGATTTACAACATTATTCAAAAGGCTAAATGATGTCAAGCTCCGCATAGTACATCTTATCTGGCTACTCCCATGCTAGTGAAATTTCCAGCACATGTAAAGCAAGTGGAAACATTATACTGTCAACAAAAAATACATTTGAGACCAAACTAAAGTTGTTTAAAGAATTATTTTGTTAGCAAAATTAATGGACTTGAATTTGAACAAAAAAAAGTTAATTTGTTATTGGTGCTCATAGAATAACAAAATTAACTGGACTTATATATTGGTGCTATTATTTTTATAAAGTGCAAACTTCTAAATTGTTTTTGTTAAAAATAGTATGCGTAATAAACAGCAAAACAAAAACGTTAAACAGAGTAAACCAAGAGGGCCATGATGGCCCTGAGGTCGCTCACCTGTATATAAGCCCCCGGAGCGGGGCAAGTTTGAACCCCAGGGCTTTTATTTGAACAAACTTGGAAGACACCCATCAGAAGATGTTTCATGATGTTAAGTTTTTACTACACACATATAATGAAAAACAATGATTCTTCCCCCCCCCCCAGCAGGGCCAATTGTAACCCAAGGGCTTTTATTTGAACAAACTTGTTGGACACCCATAAGAAGATGTTTCATGCTAAACATCTAAGCTTTAATTCACTGGGTTTTTTAAAAGAAGATTTTTTTTTACACATATAGTTAAAAACAATGACACCCCTGGGGCGTGGCCAGTTTTGACCCCAGGGCTTTTATTTGAACACTTACAAGAAGATATTTCATGCTTAATATCTAAACTCTAACTATTTGGGTTTTTTCAAAGAAAATTTTTAAGTTTTTACTATACACATATAAGGAAAATCAATGACCCCCTGGGGCAGGGCCAATTTTGACCCCAGGGCTTTTATTTGAACAAACTTTGTAGACACTCACTAGAAGATGTTTCATGCTTAATATCTAAACTCTAACTATTTGTTTTTTTTCAAAAATGATTTTTTAAGTTTTTGCTTTTCACATATAAGGAAAATCAATGACCCCTGGGGCAGGGCCAATTTTGACCTCTGGGCTTTTATTTGAACAAACTTAGTAGACACCCATTAGAACATGTTTCATGCTACATATCTTAGCTCTAGCTTTTTGAGTTCTTCAAAAGAAGATTTTAAAGTTTTTTCTATTTGCATATAGGGAAAATAAATGACCCCTGGGGCGGGGCCAAATTTGACCCCAGGGCTTTTATTTTAATAAACTTGGAAGACACTCATTAGAAGATTTTTCATGCTAAATATCTTAGCTATAGCTCTTTGGATTCTTTAAAAGAAGATTTTTATGTTTTTACTACATGCATTATAGGAAAAATCAATGACCCCCTGGGGTGGGGCCAATTTTGACCCCAGGGCTTTTATTTGAACAAACTTGTTAGACACTAGAAGATGTTTCATGCTAAATATCTTAGCTCTAGGCCTTAGTGTTTTTTAAAAGAAGATATTTAAAAGTTTCTTCTTTCTGTTCATGGCAACCAGAGTTCTGCATGGAATAAAATTCTTTGAACAATTATTTAAAGTAAAAGTTAACGGACAGATGCCGGACGGACGACGGACGAAAAGCGATCACAAAAGCTCACCCTGTCACTTTGTAACAGGTGAGCTAAAAAGAATTTAAACAGAAATGCCAGCTCGCTCGACTTTTTTTTCCTTAGTTGTGAAAATTGGTAAAGTCTTATGTCCCATATTTATATTTATCAATCTAAGAGTGCCAAGTCAATTTTTGACTTTCAATTGTGACTTTTACCTTCAGCCGGCAAAAGGGCAACATGGGTTCTGAACATAATTATGTTGAGGTGAAAATTTGAGCCAAGAGTGAAGAAAATCTTTCAATAAGTGTGGGACTTACAGGGCGGACATGACATTCTCTCTAATATTTGATTATTTGATATTTGACCTTCAATTGTGGCCATTACCTTGAGCTGACACATCGGCAACATGGGTTCTGCACATCCCCTTGTTGAGTTGAACATTTGAGCCAAGTTTGAAGAAAATCTTTCAATTAGTGTAGGACTTACAGAGCTGACACGACATACTGTCTAATATTTGATTGTTTGATATCTGACCTTCAATTGTGACCTTGACTTTTAGCTGACACATGGGCAACATGGGTTCTGCACATTCCCTTGTTGAGGTGAACATTTGAGCCAAGTTTGAAGAAAATCCTTCAGTTGGTATAGGATTTATAAAGCAGACACAATAATGGAGACGGATGGACGGACGTGACAAAGGGGGGTATAATAAATTTGTATAAATTAATCTAAGACAGTGCAATGCTTAAAGAAAATAATATATTTGAGACAGAGTTATGGATCTTGCTAATAGTTCATGGTGTTGGTGATGATGAGGGAGACACATTTCAAGTTTGAAATAATTCACTTTTTGTATGATAAAATTAAACATGGAACTATATTTGAAAAATTAACTCGTCAGCAGGAGTTTTAATAAATCATAAATTATACAGTAAAGGAAAATCATAGAACTTATGAGAAAATGTGACGGGAAGGAGTGACATACAATGTAAGTCAGACCAAAAACTTATAATAACCATTGTTACATACAGCAATTTTAACCTGATGTTCTTCATTGACAGGTTGAGAATTTTTAAACAATGGAATTTATGGCCTTCCTACATATGGTGTTAATAACCTTGCCTTTTCAGTAGAAGTCAAAGGGCAAACAAAAAATACATTGACCTTAGTCCATAGATTTGCATTTCTAAGTATATGACCTTGACTTTTGAACAACAATTCTGAAAACCAATGTAATATTAAAAAAGTTGAAATTTTATACATTATTTGATGACTCTTTTATATAAACAAAATTGGACAGACACATTGCTTTTTATAAAGAAATCATATCAAATGCAAGCATCCTCAACAACTAAGGAAATAAGATATATATGTAACAATACAAAAACTTTAACCAGAAATGTGATTGCAAACACTAGTTTAAGACAACTGCAATGCTAAACAAGTACTGCCCATAAAGCAGTCTCAACTATTCAAGTTCCCAGTGTTTGATACCATACTGCACCATTTTCTAAGATCATCTTGATTTTGACTTGACTTAAAATGGGCATGGCTGTCAGAACTGATATGCATTAACAAATATCATGTTTAAGTGTCTGAAATGAAGTTATTACCTATAAAAAAATGAATGACCTTGACCTTTTACATTCTGATCTAAAATAACTATGATTGATACCAAGGCACATTTTTATAAAAGTTTTCTTGATCAATGTCCTATGATTGAGTGACCTGATTTATTATTTGTTATGAGAGGACCAAGTGACCATGACCTTTGACTAAACTATAAATGTGTCATCATGCCACGGATGCCCCGCATGCAACCAAAATTTCAGATGTGATAATATTTAGTCCCAAATTTGTTTGCACAAATTATTTTTAAGTCCTTAAAACTATTCAATGTTAACACAAACCATTTTTATACAAGTTCAAGGCACTGAAACTTTTTAGTGTTAACCTTTTGTAAATTGCATATGATGCATATTTGTAGCCAAAATAATGGGTACATATATTTCCACATAATTATGAGTATTCAAAAATTTTCCAACATTCAAGAAAGATAACTTTGTCCAAAATCATTGAACCACAACCTAAGATGTATCTATATGTCAAATTTGAGTTGAATGTGTACAACCATTGGGGAGATCATTAACAGAAACTGATTTTTTTCAAATTCAAGAGGGATAACTCTGTCAGTTATCATCAAACCATGACCAAATTCAAACTTGACCAATGCATTCTATCTTTAATTTGTTGTTGAATATGAGCAATTGTTGGTAAGATAATGAATGGGAATTGAAAATTTCCTTTTTTTTTAAAGTTTAAGGGGCATAACTCTGCCAAAAATCATCGAACCATGACCAAATTGGAACTTGACCTGTGCATTTCTTTGACATATCCATATGTAAAATTTGAAGTCAATGTGTAATACTGTTGGGGAGATAATGAACGGAAAATGAAAATTTCATATTGTTTCAAAAGTGAAAGGGGCATAACTCTGCAAAAAATCACGGAACCATGATCAAATTCGAACTTGACCTGCGCATTCCTTTGACATATCCATATGTTAAGTTTGAGTTGAACGTGTAATACTGTTGGGGAGATAATGAACGGAACTGAAAAATTCATATAATTTTCAAAGTAAAAGGGGCATAACTGTGCCAAAAATCATCAAACCATGATTTAATTTGAACCTGACCTGTATTTTCTCATGACATATCCATTTGTCAAGTTTGAGTTGAATGTGTAACACTGTTGGGGAGATAATGAACGGAAATTGAAAATTTCATATTAATTTCAAAATAGAAGGGGCATAACTCTGCCAAAAATCATTGAACCATGACCAAATTTGAACTTGACCTACATATTCATTTGACATATCCATAGTTCAAGTTTGAGTTGAATCTGTAATACCGCTGGGGAGATAATGAAAGGAAACTGAAAAAATTTCAAATTATTTTCAAAGTAAAAGGGGCATTACTCTGCCAAAAATCATCGAACCATGACCAAATTCGAACTCTACCTGTATTTTCTCATTAAATATCCAATGCCAAATTTGAGTTGAATGTGTGCAACCGTTACTAAGATGATAAATGGAAACTGATGATGACGGAATGACAGAATGACGCAAGGACGAAACAGGGTAACACTATATGCCCCAGCCAATACATGGAGGGGGCATAAAAATAGGTGTGGCAGGTAAAACTTAACATGATGCATTCAAATATAAAGTAACAATTTCAGCTCTATCACTACTGAATGTAATGACCAAAAACAAAACCTTAAAAGGGACATACATGATTGTATTGACCTTTTGACATTTTTACCTAAAAATTGGGATAATGTGACAGATGCCCAAAAATAAGTATAGGGAAAGGCTAATCCAATCAGCATAGATCTACATTTAAAAGTTGAAACTCATAGGTCTATGCTTTCTGATTAAATTAATAAAATGACCAGATTTACGATTGATTTGTAAAAACAGGCTGAAGCCACCTTAACTTTTGACCTTTTTTAACTGAAAATGGGTGGGGAAGGTAGAACTTTTAAGCTGAAAATGGGTGCAGCAGGTAGAACTCATATAAGTGAATCAGCATACTTAGTTTCAATGTGAACCTTTGTTTACATTGAAGGGAATGACCATAAACAAAATCTTAACCAGAAAAGTTAACCAACGACGGCACTGCTGAGTAGGTCGTGAATTAGCTCCACTTTTTGTTTGAAAAATGGAGCTAAAACAGCTGAAAGTAAAAGCATCAAGTAAAAACATACATAACATACATAGAAACAAACAAAATAAAGGAATGCATTCTGCTCTTTTTAAAC